CTGTGATGCATTCAGGTGCTCCTCTTGTTTTAGCTGTGATGCATTCAGGTGCTCCTCTCGTTCTTGTAGATGCAGTCCTGCAGCGGTTTGCTGTTCTCCTTCCTGCTGATCATCACTGTGCTGCACTGCAGCGTTGAAAGCTTCAGAGTCCAGCAGCAGCCGCAGGTGTGTGGAAATGTTACTGGATAATATATATTAATATATTTATATTATTTATTCTTTGCCGTCAATGGTTTTAGATTCATTCCAACTCAGGAGGTGAACGTTGATTGTGAACAAAGATTTATGAACGTTCATCATCACGTTTCTCTCCATGGCTGGTTTTTGATTCCTGTGTTGATGCTTCAGACCTGGATCAGATCAGATCAGATTGTTTCTTATCAAATCATCCCGAGGGCCAAACCAAACGGCCCCTCCCTCTGAGGGCCCCTGTGCCGACATCACACGATGTAACGTCAGGGCGGACGAGGCCCTGAAGGTGGTTTCTGTTTAGTCTGGATGAAACCTGATCGTCTGACTCATCGGAGGCAGCGGGCGGACAGGAAGTCAGCCACGACCCGCTGTCGGGTTCGTGACGTCAGAGCTGATCCACAACATGGAGTCCTGACGTAAGAAAACACTGAGCGGAGCAGGGAGGCTTTTCTCTGCTGAGGTCAATATTTTCTAAACGGAGCCTCCCTCACAGAAAATAAAAGACTTCACTTCAGCCACAACTTTATTGACACAAAGAGGAAGAGACACTGAGGACAACCTCCATCCAGATGTTTATATATTACATTTACATCTGTCTGCATCATTTCCAGATGATTCCATGTGACGAATCAGTCAGATGATTCATTGACCTCCACCCTGCAGACGTCACATTGTTTTACTAATGTTAAATTATATATATATTATTATATATCACCACATATGGTTCTATTTGTGTTTTCTTTGTATTTATCATTATTTATGATAAAGTTAATGGTTAAACTGTAGAACATCAAACCTGTCGGTCGAGTTTTTTATTTTCTTGTAACTTCACTTTATTCCTCTTTTTTAATGAATCTGTCTCCGGCTGTTTATCGACACATGAATGAACATCAATAATGAATTAAGAAAGAAAAGTTCAAATTGTTTTCTTAAATAATTAAAGGTACTTTTTTGTTTAGAGTCACAAAAAGCCAGTTGTGTTGGAGCTCACCTCATATCATCAGGGACCTTTAATTTCAGGATGTAGCCTTATCCCATCCTGTGTTCCAGCATGTAGGCCGGCCCCTTTTGAGGCCTCTGGCAGCTTTTCGTTTCCGTCCCGGTGGAGTGAAGAGGGACAGGGAGGAGCTAACAGCGAAGCTGCTCCTACTGGAGAACCTGGTGAGGATGGAGAATGATGTCATGGAGCCAAAGAGGAAGAGGAGTTTCCCCGGCAACAACGCACCTCTGGACCGCCTGTCAGTCAGCTCCATGGAAACCAAACAGGCAACAAACAAGCAGAGGTAGGACGAGTGTGAGACACACCTGAGACACACCTGAGACACACCTGAGACAAA